CTCCATTATAATTGAGCCTTGAATTTGGGTTATGCTGTTAGAACTGCTCTTAGCTGATGCCTGTGAGTTAACCTTAGAGATTAGTGTTATAATTTAAAACAAACAACAGAGACCCTTTCTTTCACTTTTTAAATAAAATTATTAGCAGCAAAATAGAAGACTTGAAAACATTAACGTGAGTGGAGATGCCTGTTGGAGCTAGTTCTATGAAATGCAAACCTTAATATAGCCGTGGAAAGTTTAAGAAGCTTGTCTTCTACAGGTAGAACACAAATGATTGCATTTTGGGACGCTTCCTTCTCTTTTCTGTATTATATCTATTTTATAGTTTTGGTGGGCAGTCTTCTCGCCAGAAGGTGATATGTTTTACTACTTTACTGACAAATCCCACTGCCCCTCTTGGTTTCCAACTGTGGCAACTGGTTTGGGCAGGGGAGGAGAAAAGTTGAAAAATTTTACAAACGTAAAGATTCAGACTAATTTGTGGCTTTCAGTTATCTATAGTTTCCCTTTGCCATGGATAAACCAACAATTAATTGTGTGTCAATTTGTTTCTTTTCAAAAAGATGTGGTGATGGAGTTGATTTAATATTGCCTCAATTAACACATAAAATATTTAAACTTCAGGCCTCTGGAGATGGACTGATATAACTTCTCATAAATAAATTTCCAGTGGCCCAATGCCTTAATGTGATATAAATACAAACTCTTAGATTATCTTATCATCTTTATGGGAGATATTAAGTAGTGGTTAATTATTGAATCACTAAGACATTATATCTTGCTACATGTTTATATCATTTAGACTCGTGACAAAAAAAATTTACAGGAATAAAATCTGGCCATGAGTATACCTGCTGATTGTTTATCATCACTGGTTTTTCTATTGATATATATTCAACATTTTTTTAAAGCACTGGGTTTCTGTTCTTTCGATTTCACCAGAATACTTTTGAGCATTAAAAAAAATAAAATAAAATGGACCTCTGTTGTCACATATTGTGGGGTGCTATATGATAACATTTTTGAATTTTTCAACAGACTAGTTTGGATTTCAGATGACTCATTTGTTCAAAAATAATTTTAAAAGAAAAGAATTCCAATCATTTACATAATAGAAAACACATTGAGAAGAGATCCAGTCTACACATCTGGTTATGCAATTGGGATGCTGGTTCGGCCAGTGAGGACTGTGAGCACAGGCAGTGCGGGCAGAGGTCTGAGGGGGCTGAGCCTCACCTGCACACAATTACAGCACAGGCTGGAGTTACTTCCAATCAAGGCAGCCAACTGACCCTAATGCAAAGCAGATGGACCGTTTCTCAACATGCAAATTGCAGGATTAGGGTACATCATAATTAAAGAGATTTTTAAACGAAGAAATTCGAACTGACAGCACACTGATGCTCATTATGTTCCATAAAGGCTGTTGGTGGTTGAATGATATTCAAGATTAAAACATTATAGTGAAGGGATTCGGATGCTTGGATTTGCTCCTGGTGAGTTCAGGTTGCTTCAGCTGCTGAAGTATTTACCGTAGCTGTATTTACTCTAGAGGATCATGCATTGGAAAGCCAAGGAGAAAGGCGGATTTGGACGTCTCAGAGAGTGTCCTCTATGAGTTTGAAGAACTGGTCATCTCCTCTGTACCTTGCACACAAAAAAAATCGAGTGAATTGTGACATGCTCTCAGAGGTTACTCTCTCTTCCTGTATCCACATGAGTCCTCAGGAGAACTATGTGTCGAGCACCTGCCTGCCCACCTTGAATGCAGGAACAATACAAAATGATCATTTTGTTGAGATCGGTTTTTCATCACTCTGAAAAAATTTTGTTGGCTTTCCTCTTGACACTTCTGGATAAAAACCAATCATCAATTAACTTTGGGATTTCCATCCTATCAGAAAATGGTCTCTTTCTTTTTTTAATGGAAAAGTCAGTGCAATAAAATGTTCTATCTTATAAAAATTTTAGTACTGATTTTTAAAAAGAGTAAATAAATGTACGTGTGAGTAATATGACCATGACAGAAAACAGAGATCCAAGTTCCTTGAAAGAATATGTGATTAAGAAGGCAACACAGAAAACGTGTCATGTTTTCTTTCCTCCCTAAGTGACTTTCAAGCAGGGAGAGGCTTATCGTTGCCTCAAAGGTTTGCATAAATGTTCCAGTATTCTCCTATTTCCTCAGATTCATTCAAGAGTGGAGAATAAGAAAGTGGGTTAGGCTATTCCTTCAGCAAAAATTTACTAAACATTTGCTATTGCAGAACATTCTGTCCTGGGACACTGTGAGTGCAGGAATGAAGGAGAAATGGTTTTTGACCTCTGGGGGCTGTGGCTTAGTGGGGAAGACAGACATCATTAAATGAGCTTGCTGAAGCAAGAGGCAGTTAAATGCACGTCTTGACAGTTATAGGCTCAACATTGAAGAGGGACAAAAGAATAAAGCCTTTATTTCCAACAGGGAAGTTTAGAGAAAGTGTCACAGAGGGGTGGTATTTGGTCTGAGCCTGGAAGTATTCAGGCTTCTGCAGTCAGAAAATAGAAGGCAAGACATTTCAGATTGGGAAAAAAAATAGCCATAAACAGGCCATGGTAGCATGAAGTACCTGGCAGTGTGTTTCTAGAAGAGCTGGGTTTAAAGATAGAATCAGTGATGAAAATGCATGATGTGCCAGGACATAAACTGAAAGATAAATGGCAGCCTGTGATAAAGATGGATGCCTTGAAGGAGAGGCCAGTTTCCCTGCATCCTGTAGAGAATGGGATGCAGTTGAAGGGTTTGAGAAGCTGAAGGAGAGCATCTTGCTTCTACTTTAGAAAAATAACCACAAAATGCCAAGAAGAGGGAATTAGCAAAAAGAGACAGAGTACACTTGGGTTGTAGATGGGTTGGAAAGCTATTGTGAAAGTAGACCAGGAGGGAAGTAACATGGAGTGGTCACCATGGAGACAGAATGATTCAGGAATTCCTAAAAATGTACTGTGCAATAAAGCAACTAGATGTCGGTGGGTTCAAGAACAAATCACAAAACGTTCTAAGATCTCTTAGCTGTCCTAAAGAACAAAATTGTCATGAAGACAGATATCACAGGAGAAGGAGCATATTTTGGGGAGAGGAATTTAAGATGGAATTTCTGCAGAGAAATTCAGCAGGGAGGGAGAGAGGGTAGCTTGCAGCCTAGGTAGGTTTTGGAGATAGATTAGAAAATCATCTTCCTAGCAGAAATATTCTAGCTGTCAAAGTTAATGTAACCCCCATTGTAAGGTTATGCACAGAGAAGAAAATCTATGATACAAGCCTGAAAGAAATTCATGTTGTGGCAGAACAGGAGCCAAAGACTGGCTTAGTGAAGTTCCAAGCCAAGCAGGAAAGCTGACATTGGAATAAGAATGTCCAAGATTTTGTAGATCTATCAGAAATCACCTCTTTTCTCTACCATTTGGCGCGGGTTTTCCTAATTTTAAATGTACAAAGAAGCAGAGAATTCAGAGAGAAACCAGAGATCAGATCATAGCTCCAGGCAACTAACTTACTTAATCTTCCTTACACTTCATTATCTCGTGTTCAAAATGTAGATAATTAACCCTTCACCCACTTCACAAAGTCCCAGTGAGAGGCAGATGGTGAAAATTTAGGGTAAACTAAAGGGCAAGGTACAGCTGTAACCCACCAGCAAATCAAAATGCAGAATTCAGTAGGCATGGTAAATGTGCTCTCTAAAAAATATATATTTTTAAATAATCAATAACTTTTGACCATATGTAAATATGCTTTTTAAAAATTATCCAACCCCATCCACCTACATATTTGGTAACTTTAAAATTTTCCTAAACAAGACTTAACATGTATTCAGATCAAAATGAAATGAATTGAAATTCAGCCACGTCACCAGCGTGCATAAAATATTACTTACATTTGGTGTTTGACAATTTTTCCAGTTTCTTCTCTGTTTAAACTTGAGAAATGGAAAAAGAAATAGAGCATTATGAACTAGCCTTTCAAATGAGTTTTCAATGCTCTGGGCAAACGCCCATTCTCCACAGAAAATGATATTAATGATGATGCGTTCATTCTAGGTGTCGATGGTGTTCAGTATCATGGCGCCATAGATTCTACCTAATCAGTTAGTTTTACATACTCTCTTAGTAGTATAAATTTCTTTTAAAAATTCCCTTTCTATAATGGCTACGATTTTGAACTGTAGATCTTAAATCTTTCAGTCGTCAGATAACTTGGAAGAAGTCAGAATGATTAACTACTTTAAAATGAGACACCTGCGTGAAACTTTTGAAGCAACGCACTCACTCATGCCAAAACCAAACATGACAAATTCATCATTTTCCAATTTTAAACCCTGAAATGTATAGGGGAGCGCCCAAGCAATCAACTGGGGAATCCAAAACACTTACGCTTTGGAAATCAGTCTTGTGAGATTTCACCACATGAGAAGATTTAGCTTTGCAATTTCTTCCTTAAATGGAAAACTCCCTGTGACAGAAAGAGCGTCAAACCTGGGAACCATGTTATAATGAACCTAGAATATATCAAGAGAAATGGAGCGTGTTAAAAATGGGAAAAATGACTTGAAATTCTTTATAACTATCACCTCGTGTGAATTCCATGTTGATGGCAAGTGAAACAACCTGGTAACGTGATTTACTCAGAAGAGTGCACATGAAATGATTGCTCTAGGGATTATGAGGGAGAAAACCACTTGTTCAGAACCAGCTATCAATTTAGACCCTCTTTCATTAAAAAAAAAGAAAGAAAGAAAGAAAAGGAAAAGCTAAAAGAGAAGGGGCTAATAGCTGAACTCAATGTCAGAGGCTTCAGATGTGAAACCCTGCATGGAGAGAGAGCCCACTTCTATGAAAGGAAATAGAATATCAGTTGTCAGCCGATGAGATCTGTCTCTTCATAGATTTTGTTCCTCAAATTTTACTTCCATCTGCAGCACACACAGATTATTTTAATTGACATGGTTTTGTTGCAGGTGTCCCCTTGAAGCCCAGAAAAGAGTTACGATTTACAGAACTTCAGTCTGGGCAGCTGGAGATTAGGTGGTCCTCGAAATTCAACATTTCCATTGAGCCTGTGATCTACGTGGTTCAGCGAAGGTGGAATTACGGCATCCATCCCAGCGAAGACGATGCCACGCACTGGCAGACAGTGGCCCAGGTAAGTGCTTCATAGACTTTGTTTCTCCCCTGTGAGGTAGCGTCTACTACACACCTACATAAAATTAACTTGCTGTGCCTCAAAACAGCTTGAATACCTTAGTATCCCGCTTATCTGCTTAAAAGGGAGTGAGGACTACAGATATAAACCAATACACCCAGAAACTTGACTATTGGCTTAATTTGCTCAAAAAACACAGGGAAGGGAGATAATTTTGTAATTTGATTGTTCACATTTATTTTCTCCAACAACTACATTTCCTTTAGCTAAACTCAAGACCAACCAGAGTCAGGGAAATGCCACACTCTTAGGACTGGTTAATGCGATATTTAATAATCTACACGGTGTCTCTTCTATTTCTCCTACATTTAAGCTTTTATTCCACCCAAGGACTTTGGTAGCATGGAGCAAGATTCATATCACAAAACTGCGTAGTGGGAAGTAGCCAACAGCTCATAAATCTTTGCTAAGTGCTTTCTTCTTCATCTCAGTCAACTTAAAAACTGATACACCACCTGGATGGCAAAACTCCCAGAGTTTATCTTAACAGTACTTCCTCCTCTTCTGTCCTGTTGATGAGAAAAGCAAAATATTTTCTTCCTTTTTAAGAGCTGTTAAATGGACTACCAGCTGCAAAAAGAAAAAAAAAAAAAGAAAAGAAAAAGAAAAAATCACAAATTACATGGATATAGAAAAACACAATAAATTCTCAATGTGAAACTGCTTCATGCTTTTCAACAACTAAAATGCCTTCTCTACATTTATGTCTATAGGGAAAAATTCTCACCTTAAATTGATCAGATCATTTTCTCCAAGGACTAGATTCCCATTTTTTTTCAGTAAATATAAAATAAATTTCAGCATTTAGATGTTAGGAAGAAGAATTTGGTATTTTCTCAATCATAGTGTCTCAAAGGACATAAACACTAAAATGAAATAAAAACCCCCAAATAAGAAGTTCGATGTAAAAGAAATTAATACTAAATTAGTTTAATATTAAATTAGAAAAAATACCTAGCCAAATAAACTTAGTAGTTGTATTTTATACCTATTTTATAAGAAAAATTGCTTTAATGAAACATAAAGTTACTCAGAAAACAGCCTAACATTGCATTTGATGTACATGCATGGCCTGCTCCCGTAAGTAATGGTACTACAGAATCATTTGTAAATTTTCCAAAGTATATAAAGATTTATGAAAGTAACTGACAATAAAATCATCTCTTTCATCCCCTCTTTTTGGAAAGAGGAAAGCCCCTGAATTATTGTAGCTATTATTCTTGCCGGTTAATGCCACACATAGTACTTCCTTCCTTTGTCTGCTAAATGCTTGGGGATGTCATGCTGACTTTAAGCTTTTTAAATTTACAGCTGAAACTCTAAAAGGTGAAGTCAGTTGAAAGCGTTGTCTCAAATTCTGCCAAATCAAGTAGAGAGCCCAGTTTACAAGTTCATAGTCTTCCTTTGATCTCAGAAATGTTTAGCTCCTTTTGGATATTGGTGTAAATGCGACAGTCCTTTTCTATAAGTTATCATAGACAGAGGTTTGCGAGGGTTTGAATTTAATCCTATCTCCCCAACTTCCTCCATAGAGCCAAGCTGAGTTTGGCACTAGGTGCAGGTGAGGCCATGGACCGTAGGTATTTATTCCTTGCAATTCAAGGCAAAGGTGTTCAGATCTGCAAATAGGAACAAAACATAGAACACTGTTGAAAGCCGGTCTATAGTATGAACACTGTTAAAGTTATTTGATATTTTGGCATGGTGGCAGTAGAGACAGCAAAACCTACTGACCTTCCAAGTGTCTTTTTTCTTTGGGCCTCTTACTGCACAAAGATATACTAACACATCTCACCCTCTAAAATCACAGATGTTAAGTGATTTGCTCAAATTAAAAAAAAAAAAAAAAAACAGTGTCTTGGGTTACAATTTACCTCCAGAAATTGTTAGTGTTCTTTTAAGCATGTGAGTTGTTTATACCTAACTTCCAGAATTATATTTGACGTGCAAGTTAAAGGGGCATTTTCTTCCTATAATCTAAAGATGATTTCATCTTCATGTCTATAATGTAATGATGACTATACATATATATTCTTTAGTGGTTAAATCCTTCAAATGCTGTATCTAGTCACCAGATCTAAAAATAGTCGAAGCATTTGTCACAGATATTTTTTTTTGAGACAGAGTCTTGCTCTGTCACCCTGGGTAGAGTGTAGTGGCATCATCATAACTCACTGCAACCTCAAACTGCTGTGCCTGAGCGATCCTCCTGGCTCAGCCTCCCAAGTAGCTGGGACTATAGGTGTGCACCACCATATCCAGCTAATTTTTCTATTTTTTCTATTTTTGGTAGAGACCAGGTCTCGCTGTTGCTCAGGCTGGTCTGGAACTCCTGAGCTCAAATGATTCTCCCACCTCAGCCTCACAGAGTGCTGGGATTATAGGCATGAGCCACCGTGTGTGCCCAGCTGTCACGAGATTTTGACTTCCAGAGATGTTTAGTTCTTTGGGGTGAAACAGCAGTGGTTCCTTGATCCCCAACTGCCCCCTCTGTAACTGGGCATGACAAGCCTTCAACCCAGAGTTGCCTCGGCTGATAAGTTAGTGTATTTTTAAAAACAGATCTAACCCGCATGTCAGAATAAAAATGGAATGTTCCCTGTGCTCTGTGACATTTCCCCTCAGACCACAGACGAGAGGGTTCAGCTGATGGACATAAGGCCCAGCAGGTGGTACCAGTTCCGAGTGGCCGCTGTGAACGTGCACGGGACCCGCGGCTTCACGGCCCCCAGCAAACACTTCCGCTCTTCCAAAGGTCAGTCTTCCCGCCCTGCCCGGACACGGACACCTGCCTTGCTCCCGGGCACATGTGGAATACAGAGTCTTTGTCTCTGTGCTCACATGTATGGTTAGCAGGCAGGTGGTTTTCTGTCCTTAGAGCGTGGGACCCGATGTGTTTGAAAGGACCTTGTAAATTGATGGTCAAGGGCATCACTGGGCTTCTACCTGCACGGTGTCACTGAAGATAATATAAGCATTTTTTATTTTTTAACTTTGAAGTGGGGGTGGGTTTCCATTATCAACTTCTGTTGAGCTTTTCCTTAAAGGTATTCTGCATCAAGCATTGTTCAATTAATTTTCAAAGAGAAAGACTGAATTTTATCTGCAGCAGATGATATAGCCTTTCTCGAAATGATTGTTAAATCGAGTGTGAATTTACCTCTTACTTTGTTTCATAACATCCACAATTTAAACCCCTCCTGAGTCATTTGATCAAAATTGATTGCTATAATTTTGTTCGGTTCCTATTTCACTGCTGTTTTAAAATCTCTGTGGAATCAGATGAATACTATACTATATTTCTGGTTACTTTAGTCTGTATAGTTGAAGGATATAATCTGAACAGATATTAATAATATTTTAGGATTATTTCTCCAATGATGTCCATATGGTTGTGCAGCTTCCAAATTAATTACATATCTGCTTGGCTAACCATCAAGATCTGGTTTCATAAATACAGATTAATCATGTTGTCCACTTACTAATCAGGACTTGTCTTCTGACGTGGAAGCTCATTTAGATTTATCTTAAACAAAATGCATTGCGATATTAATGAATAATGTAAGACTTATAACATCAATCATGTATCTTCCTACGAGAGGGTTTAAACTGGCTGCTATAAATTGCAGCTTCTGTTCCATGATTGGAAAAACATATGTGTCTCAGATAGTCTATCCATCTTTCACTAGGGAATATTGCTACCCCTTTCTCTGTATAACCATAAATGTCGAGTGGAAAACTTGCAATCAAAATCATTTAATATTTGGATTTTATTACAGGGCATCTTGTAGATTTTTAACTTTTTTTTACAAAAAGCATTGTAAGAAAAGGGAAAGTTGCTTTTTATTTTTTCCAGAGAGGCAAATACACTAATTAAGCAAGCTTTAAAGTGAAATTATAAATCAAGACATCAAACTTTGCCTTAAGATTCTGTCTCCAGCTGGTCTGACAATTTAGAGAGGCAAGTGAAATCAATAATTAATAGTGGTTTGGGAGGTGGCTTGAGAACTCTTCACCTTGGGTTTCATGGTTCAAATGCAATCCAGACACGTTGCGGTCAAAACGTGTGACCATCTGTTCAGTTGCCGGCAGGACGTGGGCTGGCGCCCTCAGAGCAAGCCTGCAATTCAGACATCAGACAGAGTGGTCCCCAGCCCCTAGGGACAGATGTTGAGTTAATTACCTGTAAGAGCTGTAGCTCGTCCTGCCTAGTGGAGGTGGGGAAGGTGGCCTTGCTCTCAGGATTCCTTCCAGAGCGTTGCTATCACGAGATCTTTAGGGTCTGGGCAGAGGTCTGTTGACAGACTCCAGGGCTGGTCCTGAAGGTGCTAACTGAAAAGGGGAAGGTCATGCTGTCTGGGCACTTCCTAGCGTATCTGAACAACTTCATAGTCTAGAATGAGAACTGTACTCCCCAAAGTTAAATGGGCTTTTATTGATGTGCATTAATAAAAATGGGCATTTTTATTAATGCGCTGTTTTTTGAAATATTGCAGTCATTAAAATGTTGTTCTTTCTCCTGTCCTACTTTTACAAATACACCCAAAATTCATACTTCCATATGTCTCATTGTGAGGAGCAGCCCAGGCTTTAGTGCTTTTCCTCTTATAACCAAAAATGTCTGCACAGAATTCACAGTAGATTATATGGTGTTTCCAGTGAAGGAGCATCACAGAATGATAGGAGTATAACGAATCAGCTAAGTGGTGGAGACATTCCCTCCAGGATATGTCTAAAAGAGACTCAACCACTAACAAAATGGGCCACATCTTCCCCCAAAGTGTTTAACAACTTTATTGAAATAGACTTGTCATACCGTAAAATTCTCTCACCTTAAGTGTACAGTCCAACGATTTTTAGTATTTACTGAGTTGTGCAATGATCACCTGGCTTGGGAATGAGTCCATCACACCAGTGAGATCCTTCATGCCTTGCTGAGAAAGTTTAGAGGTAGAAAGGGAGTCAGTGGTGTGTCTTTAGCTTCTTTTATTACCCGTGATTCTCAACTGCAGCCCTATGAGATGGTCAGTATCCTTCCGCGTGGTACATGCAGCCACTCCTTAGGAGAGCCTGGGACAGCAAGCGCAGCAACCACAGTGACCTAGAAATGATCACACTCTTTCTAGAAGTAGGGACATCCCACAGTAAATGCAGGACTTTCCCCTTAAACATTCTCTTCTCTCAGTCGTCTCCATTTTAGGAATTGGGAATGGTGTTCTTCCAATAGTTTGTGACAAAAGAACCTTGGGGTCATTCTTGATTCTAGTCATTTCCTACAAGCCACAGCAAATCCTCAAATCCCGTCAGACTCACCTCCCCATGTGTGTCCCCTACCCAGTCCCCTCTGGCTTTATCCAGGCTGCAGTCACCTTTAACCAGCAATACCGCATCAGCTTCCTAATGGCAGCCCTGGTTCAGGTCCCCTCCCTGGTGGTGTCCACGACAAGGCCATGGGAGTGGTCCTCCTGAGATCTGAGCCACTTCCTGCCACTTCTGTGCTCAACATGTCCTACAGCTCCCCCGTCAGACTCGGGGAAAAGGCCTGATCTTCACAACGGATATGAAGACCCGACAGACCTACCTCCTCCTCCCTCTTGGACTTGATCTGCTGCTGCCCTCTCTGTCTTCCTGCTCAAGCTGGGGGCTTGCCCTGCTAGTATCTGAATGGTACAAACTCTCCTTTGCCTCAGGACACTTGCATCTACCACCAGGTCCTAGACTGGGAATGTTCTCCCTTCAGATTGGGCCAAGGCTGAGCCCTTCACCTCCTTTGTGCAAACATCTCTTTCTCAGGAAAACCTTCTCTGGCCACCCTAACTAAGATAGTAAACAAACCAACCTGCATCTCCCATGTTCCATTCTTTATTTTTCTTATTGTCAGTGGTTGCTACCTACCCTACCATACTAGAGTATTTTACTTATCAATCTTGCTTACTCTTTCCTCTTGCATTCAAGTAGGATGATGATGATGATGATGATGATGATGATGATGATGGTGGTGAATGTGTTTTCTATGAGAGCAGATATGTTTTCCTTTTTCTTTACTTGTTATCCCTAGTGCCTAGAACAGTGCCAGACACATCGTAGCCACTCAACAAATCTCTGCTGTATAAAAGAGGAAATGAAACATGAGTAATAAAAAGAGAAGCTAAACACAGAAAAATAAACTTTAAGTTTTCCTAGTAAGGCATGAAGGCTCTTACTGGGGTGATGGGCTCACTGTAAAACCAGATAATGGTGATGGTTATACAACTCAGTAAACAGCAAAGATCATTGGTCAGTGCAGGTAAGATGTGTGAATTTTATGGTATGAAAATTCTATTTCAATAAAGTTGTTAAACACATTTTTCCCAGTGAGTCACTTTTCTACGTTCGATGAGATGGAGGGAGGTGGGGAAAGATGTGGCCCATCTTGTTAGTGGTGGAGCCTCCTCTAGGGGTACCCTGGAGGGAATGTCTCTGCCGTGTGGCTGATCCATTGCACCCCCACCATTCTGTGATACGCCTTCACTGGGAACATCCTGGAATCTGCTGTGAATTCAGCACAGACACTCTTGGTTGTAAGAGAGCAAGAATTAACGTTTGGGATGTTCCTCACAAGGAGACATTTGGAAGTGTGAATTTTGGGAGTATTTGTAAAAGTGGGAGATAGAATAACAAACATTCTAGTGATGACTGCAACGTTTCAAAAATGGTGCACTTTCAGTCAATGCATGCCCACTTATTCACGTTATGCCCAAGAACTGAAATTGCACCAATTTCCTAGTGGTTTAAAATTGCTTTAAGAAAGAGTTACTGCCTCCAAGATAGTAGTCTGTGCAAAGAGTGAGCAATTATCCAGTGCGTTTGGGTTGGGTAGAGAGCCAACCTTCATAATGTAAGGCCGGGTCAAGGGAAAGAGGAAGGAATTATTTCCATCTACAATGAATACCTCTGTGAATAAAAATAAAATGAAACAAAAAAAAACTGGTAAAATGAGTTTCATTTGGTTTAGTCTCACCGCGTGGTGTTCATGGGCTATGATCCTGATTTTCATGGCTAAGCCAAACTTCTTATCATTATCTTCTTTATGGTTATTTTTAAATACAAAACTATTCCGTGGTTTGCCAAAATGTATTGGCTACTATTTAAGTTAATTTTTTTAACTTGTTTGTTTTCCCATAATTTATCCCTGACTCAGCATATCTATTGTTACACAGAATTCTAAGTTATTCGTAGATTGATAAATGAGTTTCATGCTTTTCCTCTTCCTGGTAAACACCATTTTTGGATATTTTTATTGCTAACTTTTACTTTGCCTAGAAATGAATGATTAGAAAATGGGTAAAATCAGTCATTTTTGCTGGCAGTGGAAAGGCTAAAAGAGAGCTTGGAATAATTTCTATATTTACTTATTTAAATTCTCTATACCGTCTTTACTTCTGGTACTTGAGAAGGAAAACCAGCTTCAAAGTTAAAAATTAAAGTTAATAATAATTGAATACCTTAATGCCTACTGCCTCTTTCTGCTTTTTGTCTCTTTATTTGGAACATGGAAATGGTCATCTCTGCCTATGGTGATGCCATATGCAAGGTCACTGCTGGGATGAAATGTCTCTCTAGCCAGCAGTTTGGCCAGATCCTAGGGTCTCCCTAAAAGGGTTTACCTTTTTCATCCCATCCCATTTGGAATAAGCCATAGAAAGCCTCAGAGCACATGGTATAGATATGTCTGCACAGTCCTCTGTGTGTTGTCACGGGACGCTACTTTGGAAT